CCCCGTCCCCCCGCACAGCGAGCCCGTGGCTCCTGGGTGAGCGAGCAGCCACGGCCGCTACCCAAACCAGCTGCTCCATGTTGTTTTGTCTGTGATGGGCAGGGAAAGCATTTGCACAAGGAGGACACTGTGGAGTGGGGCCACGGGGTATTTTGCTTAAGGAAAAGTTTCCCGGAGGGGAGACCTGAATAACCTTTTCGTTAGCATGACTTTGAATCCTCTGAAGTGCCTTTACATGGCAAAGCACAGAGACGTCAACCTGCTGGTGCAGATCCCAGAGCCGTCGCTCTCTCGGCAGTGACCCAAGGGCGTTTGCTCCCGGCTGATGCAGGCACCTGCTCAGCTGAAGCGGCTCCACCTGGCCCAGCCGGACGGGGACAGAAACCTGCCCAGGCTGGAGGTTGTTCCGAGCTGGTGGGAACATCCTGTGCAAGCTCTGCCCTCCCACAAGCAGCCCAGCAAAGTCGTTGTGCTGCTTTGGGAAGGCTTTGGAGGAAGTGTTACCTAGTTAAGAGCAAGACAAATAAAGAAAACAGCTCCTCGTGCCTCAGACATCTAGATTTGTCCACAGGCTCCAGGAAGGTGCCCGGACACCACGGTGACAGCCACATCACTGGCTCCCGAGCAAGCAAACACATGAGGCTGAAGGTACCAGAGAAGACGTGAGCCTAGCAAGTCCTTGCAGAAGTGAAACCTGTCTACTTGCCTGACTCTCCATGTGATGAAGCAAATGTTTCAGAGGATTAAGACAAAATAAAAATTGAGGCTTTACCTTGGCAGCTCAATAACCCACATGCCTCGCTTCCCACGACACATTAGCTGCATGTTTGTAGAGGGACTGCAAGTATCTCATGCCCTGTCCATCTGCAAACAATTGCAAGGCATTCATGGGTTTAAAAAAAAAAAAAAATGCTTTCCAGGTTCCCACAACAGCGTGCCTCAAGGTCTGCAATGGCACTTAGGCAGCCCCACACGCTCCCAGACGCACGCGCAGCCGCCGGAGCACACTGGCTGCCTGTTGGGTTCGAGACGCGGCGCGGCAGCGGCGGGGCACGTCCCGTCAGCAGGGTTAGCAGATACTATCCTGCTGTCAGTGCAAAGCCCTCCCCTCCCCGAGGCCCTGGCGGAGCTCAGCTATTGTGTGCTCATCTTGCTAATCCTTGTCTAAAGGTGACAAGAGATTGTTTCCAGCGGAGCTCAGCTCTGCAGGATAGACCTGCCCAATAAGAAGCTCGTGAATAAGCCCCAGCTTAACCAAAGATCACTATTTACCTTTATCCTGGAGGGATGTCTTGAGCTTTCGGTCCCTTCCCATCCCCAGCAAACAGCAAAGGAGGGCATCCATCGCTTTGCCCTTTGCGAGAGCCCAGGCGGCCTGCCTGATCCTACAGAGAGCATCCATTCTGCAGCAAGCTAGGGAACTTCAGAGGCTCCTTGCAGGAAACAAGGGGGCACAGCGGAGACAACTGCCTCACGGGCAGTTAAAATGCTCGGTGATGAAGACTGGAAAAAGATCCTCTGCACATTTAAACAAGGGTCAAGGGCCATCAAATACTCAAACGGACACAGGACAGTGCCCAGAGTGATCGTGCAGCAGCAGTGCCGGTGCTTGAGAAAGTTCAGGAGCGACCTCCCTCCACGCCTGAGCTGCTTAAAGAAAAGGGGCTCCTTCCCTGCTCGCGTGGCATGAACAGCAGGCACAAGTAACAGAGATGGAGCCACTTCAGTAAGAGCTCGGGAGCACCAGTTTCAGGAGGCAAAAGAAAAGCCCGGCACCCTGTGGCAGCAGGAAAATCTGGGACCACCCCCCGTTTTACAGATGCCATCCAAAGAAGATTGCTAGCAGATTTGACCACTGCCAGTGACCATGAGGAGCAGGGGAATATCGGAGCTAAGCTGCCTGCCCTCAGGAGGAAGTGGCAGCGGTGGCTTTGGCTGCGATTTACAGCTTCTGCCTCGGACTCGCTGGAGGATCACTCCCGCGCAGCAGCAGTTCAGAGCTTCCCTGCCGCACTATAAGTTACGCTGCCATTTACTTTATGCAATCACATGCCAACCTTCCCTGCATCAGTCCCTTTAGAGGCTCATCCCATGCGCAGGGCTGTAGCCAGGCGACCACATCCGTTGCGCATCTGGACCGCACGTAACTGCTCCGAGCTGAGCCCTGCCTGCAGAAGAGCTGGGCGCCAGCCTGCGCACACCTCTGTGGAGACAAGCGCGGCGGATGTGGAGGAGCGCGAGGAACCCCTTCTCAGAGCGAGCCTGTAAGCCACACATGCTGCTACTTGAGGAAAAAAAAGCGATACCTGTTTTATTGCAGTCCAAGACTGACAACCTTTATTTCTGTCACAGTATTCCTTAAATAACTTAGATATGCACAGAGATACTATATAGAGATTTCAATGGAATGGTCTGAGACATTCAATACAATACTCAGTTGCATTTATACTCCAGAGTATCATAAATAAGCTTTGGTGTACATTTTTCAGACATACTGTAAGTTTAACACAGCATTACAGAGACTCAAGGCCTTGTGCATCCCCTGTGCTGCCATTTGCTTTCTGCATCAGAGTGACGTAGGCAAGAGCTATACTCTTGCATTAAATCATAAAAACAGAGCTAAAGGTTTGAAAGACAAGTAACACGAGAATACTTCTGAAGAGCTAGACAGCACTTAGAGGTTTTCTGGAGTGCTTAAGTTAGGATATTAGATCTTACCTATGTGATAAACTGATCAGCAATGGCAGAACTCAAAAGTTGACTGCGTTGGCATTGCTGCACCCAGCTCGGCAGATACGAGGAGCGGGGACTGTTTACAACACTGCTGATTACACTGCTGAACGCGCACGCAGCTTTTCGCATCCGCTCACATCCGAAACGCGAGCTTCATTTCAAAGCTTGCTTTTGCAGAGCAGCTTGGCAGCAACTGCGGCAGCACTAAGCGAGCGCACAAGGCCCTGTGCACACTCCACACAACACTAATGAGATTCTCAAGTTTGGCCAAGTGAATAATACGCTTCTAGTAATACGCTGTGCCCAGCGTGCCCCCGTGAGCACTTTGGTCCAGGACGGGAGATCACTGCTGGGCAGCCTGTTGCATCTGTGCCTGCCTTTTGGCTTTTGTTTGAAGGTATCTCCCTTTTCCTTCTTCAAAGCGCTTCTTCTCATCCTCCGTTTCTGTCTGGTGTTAACGAAAAGAAATGAAAGCCACGAGCATTAGATTAGTCAGGATCTGAACTGGCAGAACTGAAGCGCGCAGCAAATGTTTACTACCTCGTTCCATCAGCGTTTCTTGTCAGCCCCCTGCTACCTACCGGCACGAGCGCTCTTGCGGCTCGGTGCCCGTGCCACCCCCGGAGAGGCCCCAGCAAAGCCCCCCTGCCACGTTCAACGGCACGGCCACAAAAAGTCCTCTGAAGCGTCGCAGGGACTTCTCTTATTTATGCATTTATGCAGCACCTAGAGAAACGTTTGCTAAATGGGCTGGCCAGGAAGGTAAATCCATTTCCCGGACGCTTAGGGCACTTCCCAATTTCTTAGCCAAGCGCGTGCTGCCAAGGCCCTGATGGGGTAACATCTTCATGGTCATTCATTCTGTAAATCACTAAATGTGCTACACTTCAGGTACGATTTTGCATCGTTTTCTATGCACTCTGCAGACCACTTGGCTGCAGGTAACCCTTCCCAGTGGGAACCGGACCGGAGCGCTCTGGAGCTGGACAGGCGCTTGCTCACGGCAAAGGCGCTCTCCGTTAGCTAGAGATCGCACGGCAGCCGTTACCCTCCACTGCCGCGTGTTTCCAGGCTAAGACGCTACCGACGGAAATGACCAGAAGGGTTTTTTTTAACTCAACATCCGTGGGAGGAAACATTTGTTACAACCTGATGTCCCTGGAAAGGCTCCCTAAGCCTCGGCGGGGGAGGCAGCCCCCCAGCCACGGAAACGCAGGGCGAGTCACAAACACGCTGCCATAGCGAGCGTTTCTCGTCGCTGCAGTTTCTCATGCGGATGACAGATAAACCCTCTCCGCTCTACCTGCTTGCTCCAAGTCACGCAAGCGCTTCCCCTCTCCGCTGCTGCCGACGGCTCGTGTGTTTCCTGCGCTCGCGTCCTGCCCCGGTCCTGCCAGAGGCCAGCTCAGCGCCGGGAGCCGGGCACGGCCCTGCCCGGGTCGGTGCCAGACGCTCGCAGCGAGGATGACCGCGGGCACGTCCATGCGGGCCTGCCGCACCGCCGC